CTTCCCGGACCGGGGCACGAACCCGTGTCCGGGAAGATCCCACATGCTGCGGAGTGGCTGGGCCCGTGAGCCATGGCCGCTGAGCCTGCGCGTCCGGAGCCTGTGCTCTGCAACGGGAGAGGCCACGATAGTGAGAGGCCCGCGTACCGCAAAAAAAAAAAAATAGAAGGAAGAGAAAGTTTGAGAGAGACTTAAGATCCTGGTCTCTTCCAAATCAATCTGGTAATTTGACTTCCTGGTCACTTTCTTACAGAAAGGAAATGCCATCTATTTCAGTTTCCTGGGGCCCTTGTAACACAGACTTGTTGGCTTCAAACAACAGAAACTTAATCTCTCAGTTCTGGATGCCAAACATCCTTGGTTTCTTTGTGTTACAGCTGCATCACTCTAGTGTCTCGCCTCTTATCACATGCCTTCTTCCCTCTGTGTCTGTGTCCTCTCCTTTGATAAGAACACCAGTCATTGGATTTAATCCAGTATGACCTCATTTTAACAAACTATATTTCAAAATAAAATAACATTTTGAGGTTCCGGATGGACATATATTTGGTGGGACACTATTCAACCCAGCACACAGTCCTTCACTATCCAAGTCAATTTGGCTTGTGAATTCAGGTGGCAAGGAGTACCAGTGGTGGTGGTGACATGATGTCACTGATTTAAGTGTTTTATTTTGATCGTGCAGTGACCTGCCCAAAGGATCATGGCCTGTCACCCTTAGACATCGTGAGCAACTGACATTCCTACCCCTTAATCAACCTTATTAATTCACAATACCCTAATCTTGCTGCCTTGGTGCTACATCAGCTCTGAGGGACATCAGCTTCATTCTCCACGATGCAGAAATGAGGAGGTGCCGTTCTTGGATGCTGCTGTATTGTCTTAGCAGCATTTACAGCTATGTCCGTATGCTGGGCAAGTGGGGAAAAAAGATTCTGCTTTCAAGGGGTATATGCCCCAAGTTCTCTGGTCCAGCCCTGCCTCTGAACAAAACTTTTTCTCTTTTAATGATTAGGCTTTGTATCTGGAAAAGTATAAGGCATTAGGTTATTTTAGGACCTACCTTTCTGTGCTTTTTGAATCATGGGTCTATAAAGGAAACCCAAAAAATCAGACTCATCCGACTCTGAAACCTTTCCTCAGGGTGTGGGGCGAAGATATGCTCATGTGGTGTTGAGGAAAGCAGACATCGACCTCACCAAGAGGGCAGGAGAGCTCACTGAGGATGAGGTGAGGACAAGGAAGGGGGGCTGGGGGTTGGGCCTATGGGGAGGGGGCGGGGAGACCATCTGGACCTGACCCTTGTCCTGCCTGCCAGGTGGAACGTGTGATCACCATTATGCAGAATCCACGCCAATACAAGATCCCAGACTGGTTCTTAAACAGACAGAAGGACGTGAAGGATGGAAAATACAGCCAGGTGTGTATTAAGATGGGGGAGATTAGAGAAAAGCAGTGTGTCCAGTTAGAATTGGTCATAGGCCAGGGGGTAGAACAAGCATACCTCACCGTCTTCTCTGTATCCAGGTCCTGGCCAACGGTCTGGACAACAAGCTCCGTGAAGACCTGGAGCGACTGAAGAAGATTAGGGCCCACCGAGGGCTCCGCCACTTCTGGGGGTGAGTGGGGCAGGGGGTTCATCCCTGCCTGTCCCTAGACTCCCAGGGAATTCTCATGCTCTTTTTCCAGACGTTTGTATGGTGTAAGACCTGTAACCCTTCTCTTTTCTCACCTGCAGGCTTCGTGTACGAGGCCAGCACACCAAGACCACAGGCCGCCGTGGCCGCACCGTGGGTGTGTCCAAGAAGAAATAAATTTGTGGGCGTTGTCTGTTAATAAATAGTTTATACAGTTACGGCTTTCTTCTTTATGGTTCTTTGCATTTTTCTGGAGACACTAATAGGGAACATGTTCTCACACTGGGCCCTGTTGGTCATTTTCCCTCCTGCCTGATTTCCCCACTCAGTTGCCCAGACAGTGTCCTTGGTCTTGTTTAAAGCTATGCTGTTGCCACTCCCCACTGCGGGAAGCGACATTTTACTTAGTGGTGCCCTGCTCTCCAGGTGGGTGGGAGAAGGGGCAACCAACACGCTCATCCTCGAGGAGGTAGTTGAGCCTAGCCAGTTGCCGCTTAGGTGAGTATTTTCAGGTCTTTACCACCCTAGGTTTCTGAGAGTTGGGGGGAGATGATTTTGGTGACCCGGAAGAGCTGAGCGGCGGGGGGGGGGGGGGGGGGCGCATTGTTGCCAGGCAGCCGCTGCCGTTCCGGCTGCACAGCGTTCGCCCGCTGTGCCCGAGGCCCGCGGGTCCAATTCCATTCTTGCCCAGTTTCGGGGAAGACCCCACTTGTACACCACGCTCCCTCCCCTCTGCATTCTGGTTGCCGCGCGGCTGCGAAGCTTCTGACGGGGTTCCCGGGGACGCGCACGCCACGCCCTCCCAGCGAGAGGGGCGGGACTAGGCCTCTTCCGCGGACGGGGGAGGTGACTGTTGAAGCGGAAACCCGCCGGCCATGGAGGCAGGCCTCGGCGGCCGAGCCGACAAGGTAACCTCCCCTCAGCTGCAGCCATGGGCCCCGCCGCGCCGCCTCCCGCGCCGGCACCTTAGGGCGCTGGTACAGGCCGTGCCCTCCGCCCGCCCCAGCCCTGGCGTGGCCGGTTAGGGACCGAAGTGTCCTAGAGCTGCACTCTCCGCCCTCTAACCGCGTTCCATCTTTCCCTCCAGGTCCCCTCTGACTGCGCCGCACCATGCGCCTCAGCCTCTTCCGGCGCCTTTTCCTGGCCGCCCTGCTGCTCGTGATTGTCTGGACGCTCTTTGGGCCCTCGGGCATAGGGGAGGAGCTGCTGAGCCTCTCGCTAGCCTCCCTGCTCCCAGGCCCGGCCTCGCCCGGGCCGCCCCTGACCCTGCCCCGCCTCCTGATCCCCAACGAGGAGGCGTGCGGCGGTCCCGGCCCCCCGCCCTTCCTGCTAATCCTGGTGTGCACGGCCCCGGATAACCTGAACCAGAGAAACGCCATTCGGGCCTCGTGGGGCCGGCTGCGCGAGGCCCGAGGGCTCAGGGTGCAGACTGTCTTTCTGCTGGGAGAGCCCAGCTGGGGCTCGCGCGGGAACGACCTGGCGCGGGAGTCAGCGGCCCAGGGGGACATAATGCAGGCAGCTTTCCAGGATTCCTACCGCAACCTCACTCTCAAGACCCTCAGCGGGCTGAACTGGGCCGACAAACACTGCCCCGTGGCCCGCTACATCCTCAAGACCGACGATGATGTGTTCGTCAATGTCCCCGAACTGGTATCAGAGCTGGTCCGGCGAGGAGGCCGCTGGGAGCAATGGGAAAGGGGCATGGGGCCCCCGAGAAAGGCGAAAGTTGGAGATGAAAAGTGGGAAGGAGGCCCCACCTTGGCAAGCCAGCCTGTGCCTCTCTTGTACCTGGGCCGTGTGCATTGGCGGGTGCACCCCTCTCGGACACCAGGGGGCAAGCACCAGATATCAGAGAAACAGTGGCCTCCCACCTGGGGCCCCTTTCCCCCCTACGCCTCAGGCACGGGGTATGTGCTATCGGCTTCTGCTGTGCAGCTCATACTGAAGGTAGCCAGCCGGGCACCCCTTCTGCCACTGGAGGATGTCTTTGTGGGGTTAAGTGCCCGACGAGGAGGCCTCGCCCCAACCCACTGTGTCAAGCTGGCTGGTGCCACCCACTACCCCCTGGATCGGTGCTGCTATGGGAAATTCCTGCTGACATCCCACAAGCTGGACCCCTGGGAGATGCAGGAAGCCTGGAAGCTGGTGGGTGGCTCTGACGGGGAAAGAACTGTACCCTTCTGCTCCCGGCTCCAGGGAGTCCTCGGCATCCTCCGATGCCGGGTAATAGCCTGGCTTCACAGCTGAGAGGGCAAGAGCGCCCAGGAGAGGGGTGAGGAGCTGAGAGTCCGCCCGCACCCTCACCACCTTCTCTCTCCCGGGCCCAAGGCAGGGGCTGTAGCTGGCTGCAACTGATCGGTTGCCCTACACCAGATGCTCAGTCTGTCACCGAAGACTGAGGGATACAGGACACACCTAGGGGGCTGCCTGGCCTGCCAGCCCCAAACATGGTCATCAGGAAGAGCCGCACATGCTGGGTTGTTCTCTCCAGCCACGGCAGGGGAGGGGCACAAGCCCCTCAATAAACTTGTCTCTTTTCCTCTTCGAGTACAGTGTGGTCCTCACCAGGAGTCTCAGATCACAAACCTGGGGAACCTGAAGGCTACCAGAGCCTGCTGGATGGAAAGGACATCTCCAGGGATGTGGGAGAGGGAGGACAGCCTCTCCCTGGAGGAAGGCCCTAGAGAGCCAGACTAAAGCCACAGCGACCACAAGATAGGGGTGAGGGTAGAAGCAAGACACCACGACCTCTCGCGTCTTAGAGCAGCCCCAGGCCGGACGTGGGAAGGGAACAGGTCCACGGGATGATCCAGACATGTTATCCAAAAACCCACCTTCCTGTTTAATACCAAGCCCTCTCCCCCAACACCCAGGAGTCAGCTTTCCACCCCCTGTGGGGGAGGGGCCTCACTGCTCCCTCCTCATTCCAGGGAACAGGTCATTCCCCACAGGTGCTCTTGGGGAGAGAATGTCGTTCCCAGGAACCCCTGGAGCCTGGCTCAGCGCACAAATCTGTCCAGGGCAGATGGCCGGGCCCCCATGGGCTTGGCCTTCTCTTGCTTCTGCGGCTGCTGCTCCAAGCTCTGCCGGACTTTGTCCTGGGGTGGGGAGAAAGGGGCGAGGTGAGAAGTGGCAGGAGGGCACAGCCCACAGGCCGCCTGGCCCATCCCCCAGCGCTCACTTACCCTGTGTTCCTCATCCATGACCTTCCTCTTCCTCTTCACCAGACTTGCTGTGGAGCTGCGGCCCTTCTGCTTTGGCTTTGGCTGGAAGGGAGGCTTGGTGTCGGGATCGTAGCCCTGAGGGAGGGGACAGGAGTGAAACCTGAAACAGACTTCCAAGGCAGGGAACTGCACTTCTGAGGACATGGTGGGGACAGGATGTGGGGGTGAGGAAGGCCCGGGCCCTCGGGGGCCTGCTCCGTACCAGCCTCTCTAGCCGTTCCTTCTCTTCCTGCTCCAGAGAGATGACATCAACCTCTGCCAGGGCTCGTGGGTCCAGACAGATGAGCTCTGCAGGTACCTGGGTGTGTCACAGAGGGACAGGAACGCGTAAGGAGCCACAGGAGGGTGACACCAAAGAGGGCCGGAAACCAGAGATGCCGCTGAAGCCCACTTCCCAAGACCCCCGGCCCCAAACCACACGCAGACACTTCCTCACCTTCTCCAGCAGGGCCTTCACCTCCCACTCCTGGCGCTGCTTCCGGCTCCTGTATGGGTTACTCTCCAGGCCATCGAAGTTGGGCTCAGCAGCCCCTGGAGGGAGGAGGGAACACAGAACTGTAAACAGGAACCTGCTCCAGCCTAAGCAAGCCCCTGGCCCCCAGCTGTCTCAGGGTCAGGCCCACTCCAGCTTCCATCCTGAGGTCATCCACTTAAGAGCCCCAGCCCTGCCCACTCACCAGGGACCAGCATGCTGGTGATGCCCCCGCTGTGCCCCACTCCCAGCACATCTTCAAAGGGGCAGAACTGAAGGCCATGCACGTGGCCTGAGAGCCGGTGGGTGAGGTAGGGCTGCTCCAGGGACGGGGGGCTGGCCTTGCCCTGTCCTGCCCATATGTTGACCACATCGCCCGTTCCTGCAGCCAGCAGTCCCCGCTGGGAGAAGGCCAGGTGCCCCGCTCCCTGGGGCAGGGTCCGAGCGCTCAGAGGCTGGAACGTCCCTCGCAAGTCAAAGATCTTCAGCTGGTGGTCCAGGCCAGAGGTGGCCATGTGCCTGGGGGCAAGGGGGGCTGATTAATCCATAGTATGAGCTTACTGGGCAGGCCTGTGGCCAAGTCCAGGCACCAGGTCTGGTTGAGGAGAAGAAAACCAATAATGACAGTAATCACTACCATCATACCACACACTCCACGCACCTCTGCTCAGTGAGGCGGCTGTACTATTTCCATTTCCCTTTTACAGAGAAGAAACTGAAGCTAGCTCAGAGAAAGGAAATCAGGGGGAGTGGTAGAGCTAGAATTCAAGTCAGACCTGTGTCTTTAGTGTCTGTGCTCTTACCCACTCACGACATGTGAATGAAAAGGAGGACACACACGACAATCTACACCCAGGTGTGAGGTCCCACCACATAGACAGGCAGCCCATCGGTAAGCAGCGGGAAGGGCTCACAGCAGTGGTCAGGGAGGGCTTCGTGGGATTTGAGCCATTCTAGGTAATTCTCAAGAAAGCACAAAAAACAGAGATGCCTGTATAAGCAAGTACAAATGAATTAACATCAGAGCATGGAGACAGGGAGATGGAAGCAGGGGTTTGTTTTCCAGGCTGGTGGGAAATATGGCCAGGAAGGCCAGGAGGGGACAAATTGCAGGGGCTCCTGAAGGTCGGACGCGAGATAGTTCCCAAAGCTGCTCTCCGGCAATGACAGGCCACAAGATGGAGACTGCATGGACCTGAAAAAACCTCCTTAGGAAGCAAGGAAGTGATGCACTAGAGGGCTCTGCCCCGCCCCCTTCCCTGGAAGGAGGGTGGTCAAGGTTGGTGACCAAATCCTCTCAAGGAAGCATGTACCATGCAAGTCATTTACTTGCAGAGGTTGGAGTTTCTATTGATGTTCAAGTTGCTCCTCAGGGAGGCTGAAGGGGGACCAGCCACGCCAGGGGATGTATGTTTGCCAGAAGCCAAAGACCCTCCTCTTAGCCCTTGGCTGTGAACCCACGAGGAAGACACTAAGGAGTTCCTACTTGAGCAGAGACTTGGCCTGTGATGGGGCCGAAGAGAGGCCCAGCTGGCTACTTGTCCTGACAAGACAATCAGGGCCCAGCTCCACCCGAGGGAGAGGCCATCAGCACAAACCAGGACTTATGGAGGGCTCCTGGGACACAGGGTCACACCCTTCACTGAGCCAACAACTGAGGAGCACACGCTGGCTCCTGCCCCAAACACACCCAGCTCTGGGATCCCCTGTGCAAATGCCCACCCAGTGGCCAGATGGGTATCCAAGGCCACACTACCACGCTACTGAACTTGCAAGAAACACTTCAGCTTTGCAAGTCCAATCCAATCCTAATGCAAGCTGCCAGAAAGCCAGCTGAGGACGACAGTCAGCCTCATCTCTGGAGCCCCTGTGGCTGGTCTGAGGCACCCCTGAGGAGGACAAGAGCTAAGCCGGGGTGGGCCTAAGACCAAGGACCAGAGCCGTCTGGTGTCAGGCTGTTGACCAAACCTCCATGAAGGAACTGATGGAGCCCTGAGCACAGGAGTAGCTGACCCAGGCAGCCTGGGGAAGGCCAAGTCCAGCTCAGGTCCAATGGCCCACAGAAGGCAGAAAACCTCAGGACAGGCCCCCTGACAGTCCTAGCACCAGACTGGCACAGACATGGAGTAAACAGGGCAGAAGCAAACCACTTGTCCACAGAGACACAACTATGGGGGGCCCAGGAAGCGTGAGCATCTGGCAGGCTTTCATAAGTTGGTAGCCACTGGGCTTTTCTTCTTCCTGATTTTCTGTCAAACAACTTAAAAGTAAGGTTATGGAGTTAATACTTAATGTAGAAGATTCCTGAACAATGGTGTAAAAGGAGGAAAGCAATGTGGGAAAGAGTATTCTGACATCAACACCCAGGACACACAAGAAGGAGGAAGAACTGGAGGCTAGAAACTGTGACACTGAGAATGGCGAGAAACAGACCTTGGAGGGACCCTGGAGGGGAAAAGCAGTCAGGACTTCACAGCGGTCGTGAGGCGGAAATTCAAAACAGACCAGCCACCCCCAACCCTTCACATCACCAGCCAGACCTAAAGAGGACAATCGTCTTTGACAAAGATGATGAAATACAGCGCTCCCTACCCACCAGGCACCATGATCAACTCTATAGGCCTTAACTCGCGTTCACGCCTACAACAGTTTTCTAAGCTAAGCCCCAGGCTTGGCAAACTATGGCCCATGAGCCAACAAAGCCAGCGCACCACCTATTTCTGTATAGCCCACAAGCTGTAAAGAATGGTTTTTACATTTTTAAGTGGTTGGGAAAAAAAAATCAAAAGAAATATATTTTGAAACATGAAAATTATTTGAAAACTCCAATGTCAGCATCTACAAATAAAGATTTATTGGGACACAGTCACACTCATTCAGTTACTTATTCTGTGGCTGCTTTTTGTGCTAAGACAGCACGGTATTGTGGTCAAGACTGACACCACATAAAGCATCTCACTTGAGAGCATTTCAAGTACCAAAATCTCTCCACAGATCGGCATCTGTAGATAAACATTTGCAATTGGGTTGGATGACTTGGGACACTAACTTTCAACCTCAATTAAACCAAATGTTATTCTCAAAAACAGGAATCCAGTTCTTCTCATGAGTAAACCTGTATTACAAAAATATTGTGTTCAATTATTTTTCTAAGTTCATTGCTTAAAAATTTGCAATCCTGTGGTTCCTCTTGTTATTTAAGGACCTACATAAATCACTCAGATATGCCCCACTGCCAACAAGCCTAAAATACTTACTATCAGGCTCTTTACAGAAAAAGTCTTCTGGCCCTTGAGCGAGACACTCATATCCCCAGTCTCAGGATGAGGACAATGAGTGGTACACCGAGGTCACCTAACATGCTCGCTGACATGGCTGGTCAGGAATAACACCAGGATTTAAACCCAAGCAGCTTGGCTGCAGCGTCTGTGCCCCTCCTCTCCTTTCTGCCGAGCTGTGACACACACACTGCCCCTCACCCCCCAGCACCTCAGGCCCAAACAAGTGACTTACGTGCCTGTAGAATCTACTGCCACAGCCCGGACCCCACCACGGTGACAGAGAATCTTTGCCAGTGGCTCCTTCATGGCTGGGCTCCATAAAGACACAGTCCCTAGGCATCAGAGGAGAACTTTAGTTACTAAAAGGGTGCTGAGGTGATTAAACCTGGGAAAGATGGGGACTCAAGGCCAAGAAGTAACAAGAGAGGGAAGCAGAGGAGCAACCTGAAGGGACCCGTTAAAAGCAAATATAGAAGAAAAGCAGGGGCATTCCCTGGCAGTCCAGTGGTTAATACTCAGAGTTTTCAATGCCAAGGGCCCAGGTTCGATCCCTGGTCGGAGAACTAAGAT